GGAAGGGGAGGAAAGGGGGGCGCGCGAGGTGGGCCTGGGCCCCGAGGGTGGAGTTGGGGGCGGAGAGAGGGATGGAGGGTGACAGGGACCCCCGGGGAGCCCCGGGTCCGGCCGAGGTGTGGAGCCGGGGCTGCTGGAGGGGGAGGCGACCTGGCCCCCCGGGCTAGCCGGGGAGAGGGGACCCCCATGGCCTAGCGCTCTTCTCCTGGCAGGGTAAATGAGCAAGGATGGACCAGGAAGGTGGGGGAGACGGGCAGAAAGCCGCGAGCTTCCAGTGGCGGAACTACAAGCTCATCGTGGACCCTGCTCTGGACCCTGCCTTGCGCAGGCCGTCGCAGAAGGTGTACCGCTACGACGGGGTCCACTTCAGCGTCAGCGTGAGTGCCCGGCGCTCCCCGCTGTCAGCGCCCAGACCTGGGCTTGCAGCTTGGGTTTTTTGAGAACGAGCAAGTTCTGTCAGCTCTTCAGTGTGTGTGTGTGTGTGCATGTGGTGTCTGTGTGTGTCTGTGTGCATGTGTCTGTGTGTGTCTGTGTGCATGTGTCTGTGTGTGTGTCTGTCTGTGTGTGTGGTGTCTGTGTGTGTCTGTGTGTCTGTGTCTGCATGGGCTTCATGGAGTCAATAGCCTGGTCAGCTTTCATCCTGATTTCACCTCCTTCTGTGTTCTTTACTAGGACTCGAAGTATACGCCAGTGGAAGACCTCCAAGACCCCCGCTGCCATGTCAGGTCCAAAAACAGAGACTTTTCCCTCCCAGTTCCTAAGTTTAAAGTAAGTGTCGCTGATCTCCCGCATGTGGGTTCTTGGAGAATGTCAAGGATCCTAGCACCCTGGTCTCCACATAGCACACCAAAAGTGGCTGTTCAGTGGAACGCTGACAACCAGATCTCATTGCTGTTGACCTGTGAGGCCGAGGTGTCTAGTGTATCGCGGGTGACAAGGGTGTGGATGTCTGAGGGATGAGTGTGGGTGGTGTGGGAAGAAACAGCATGGTGGTGGCTGTCCTAGTTACTCAGCAGTGAAGGGTACGAAGGCCACGGCCCACTTGGAGTCCTCTGGTCCCCACTGTCATTGGGCATGTGCTCCTCCAACTGGTTTGTAAGAGCGGCTCCACGTCCCGCTTTAGTGGGATGTGCAAGCTTCGGACTGAGCTTACAGAATTGGTGATTCTTCATTTCCTTCCATTTTTTTGTTTGTTTGTTTGTTTTCACTTATTCTTACTCTATGGGGTGCCTTCACCCCTCTTTCCCTTTCCCTGAGCAATCTCACTTAAGTTCTATTGCCTGAATGTTTACTTCCCATACGTACTTCAGCTAGCATCCACCCAGAACTAGAGACTTAAACACACTGTCCTTATTCTCGCAATCCTTTTCATTTTTCTCTACCACTGAATAGCAACAGCAGATAGATACTCAGGTGCCCAGGCTAGAAACTTAGCAGTCTCCTGGCAGTTCTTTCTTTTCCATCCAGTCTTTCTCTTTCAACCGCTGCCGTTTTCTTCATGCAGAGGCTCACACTCACTTCACAAGGTGCCTGTGACTCCCCCTTCCTCAGGTTTAGACTCTGTCTTGCTGTCTTTTGTCTTCTGCTTCTCTTGTTATTTTGCTTTTATTTTCCAAGTGTGTTTTTTTCTTTTCTATTTTTTCCCCTCTCGTTTTTCAAGACAGGATTTCTCTGTGTAGCTTTGGCTGTCCTGGAGCTCACACTGTAGACTAGGCTAGCCTTCAACTCAAGAGATCTGCCTGCCTCTGCTTCCTGAGTGCTAGGATCAAAGGCATTGGCCACCACTGCAGGACAAGTCTGTTCATTTTTTTTTTTTCACGTGTGTGTTCACACACAAGCTTTCATGCCATTGTGTAGAAATTAGAGCACAATTTGTGGAAATTGGTTTTCACCATGGGATCCAAGGATCAAATTCAAGGTTGTCAGACTTGGTAACAAGTGCCTATATCTACTGAGCCATCTTGCTGGCATGCTAAGCTAAGTCTATTTTGAGGCATTGGCATGTGTGGTTATTGATCTGGACAGGCTTTATCACTTCCTTGATACCATACCCCTGTTATATCTAAACCAGACCCTCTTCAATGGATATCATCAAGATGGATAATTCCATGTCTTGGAAATCTGTTGTTTTGGTAAACTTTGAGTTATATACAAAGCCCAGTAAGAACGGTAGCATCTTTGTGACTCTTTTCCCAGTTTTTCTCTGTATGAAGGATCCTTTTCTTGGCTCCCAGACACCTTGTCTACTACATCTCTGCTACCACTATGTCATGTTTAGATTATATATATGTCTCATCTTTTTTTTTTTTTTCCATTCT